CAGTTTTAAGTATTTTAAAAGAAATGATATAAGAGAACAGAATCAAATTATCTATATAGGTGGAATTACTTAAAAAGGAAATTTAGTGGCTGGTTATAGATCAGTGGTAGAACACTTGACTAGGAATTCAGGAGGGCCCTGGATCCCACCCCCAGAGGGAGAGGGAGAGAGACAGAAAGAGAGAAAGAGAAAGAGAGAGGGTTACATGACACTAAGTAAATCAGTTTATTTCAAGATTTAGAAAGGAAGGAAGGAAGGGAAGGGAGGGAGGGAGGGAGGGAGGGAAGGAGACTGATTTGTTGCTAATAGATTTCTAAATGTTGAACTGCTGTGGACATGATCTCACAAAAATATAGGCAATTTTGGGCTGGGAAGGTGGCTCAGTGGTAGTAGAGCGCTTGCCTTGCATGCTCGAGGCCTTGGGTTTGATTCCTCAGCACCACATAAGCAGAAAAAAAAAGCCGAAGTGGTGCTGTAGCTCAAGTGGTAGTCTTGAGCTGAAGAGCTAAGGGACAGTGCCCAGGCCCAGAGTTCAGGCCCCACGACCGGACCCAAAAAAAAAAAAAAAAAGGCAATTTCTACTGATCTCTGGACCACAATCTGAAAAAACAAACAAACAAAAAAAACAAAAAAAAAAAAACTAAGCTATTCAATTTTACAAGCTTATTTAAATTAGTGTGACATCCAAGCAAGTTGATTTCTCTGGAGATTTGTCCATCTATGACTAATTGCTATTGCATTAAATCTACTACATTTTTAGGAATTTTGTCATCATTCAGGCTAGGCTCCAGAATCGGCCTGAACTTCAAACTCTGCAAGCACTAGAGATAGAAGGAAATAGCTATTGTTTCAAGGGCTCCCATAAATTCCCAAGGCAGGAAAAATTCAATCCAGACATGTGCGTCCAGAAACAATATAAGGCTGCTCAGAGCTGGCTCTATGGATCCTATTATAAACAATGCAAGGGAAAACAAAGGTCATTGTGCCAGCATTTCCATCATAAAATACTATAAAGAACATCAAAGTTATACTAGGCGAAGGCTCTAAAGGTCTCAATATCTTCAACACTAGCCTAACAACATTGCCTAACAACAAATATTTAACATATCACTTCTCTGAGCATTGGGGGAAAGCTTTTATTCCCATGTCATTATAAAAACTTCTAAGAATGGATGGTAAGCTTTTATTTTATATCCATCATCTGATTTTCATAAAATGTCTTGCAACTGCTACATCTTTTAGAAGAATAGAATGAGGATAAAGAAAGAAAGAAAAAGAGAGGGAGGGAAGGAGGGAGGAGAAAGGAAGGAAAGAAAGAAGGGAGGGGAGGGAGAGAGAGAGAGAGAGAGAGAGAGAGAGAGAGAGAGAGGGAGAGAGAGAGAGAGATCTAAACAGAGGCCCTGGAAACTCCACTAACTCCACATAGCTTTCCACAGGGTCAATATAAAAAGGTCTGCTGGAGAAAGCTTCATGGGACTGTAAAACTTGTGTCTGGACTTTGATCCAAACTGTCATAAAAACTTGTCTCCACTTAATTTTTTTCTATTTGCATTATATGCCAAATATTCTCAAGCTTTTGCTAGGCATAAAACAAAGCAGTAAAATTTCAACCATCTCACTCCTACACTTCCAAATAACCTAAGTATTACCCCCAATCAGAGAGCTGATTAATGGAAGGTTGTTAGGCGCCCCGAGGGCTGTCAAGAATAACAACTGCAAAAGGCATTAGCACCAGAGCGGCTGCATTCATGTAAGTACATGCATATTAAAACTCCAATTAACACAGTGTCTCAAGCCGTCTAGAACGTGGAAGGTGAGAACTTTCCACACTTAGTTCATTAGAATTAAATTAGTTTTGTATTACGAATTGTTCAACTGACATCTGCAACTTTACAGAAGCAGTGTGTAGGCCCTAGCTTTTTCAGTGAGATCAACTAGAAAACGACAAACATCACTGGTTTCAAGGACAACCATAATTCACTTGGAGTTTGAGAATTTAGGAACACCAGGATTTTCATATTCAAGAACTACTAAGGGAAGTAAACTCCATTCCGTATGTGAGCAGGATGGTCTGGGGTAAGGCCAAGAAGCACAACTAAATGTCAAGTGACATTAAAGAGCGTACAAATAGCTGCATCACTAGCCTAATTACTTACTAGTGCGAATAGACAGGCTCTCTGAATCTGACACTGATTTTCAATTCTGAAAACTTTCACAAGTCTCTGCACAGCTCTTCTGTTCGGTGTATTTTCTGAATCACATAGTCACACACTGCAGACATAGAGAATAACCAACTGAAGTGAACCTCTTTAAATACACACGAACACGTGTGTATATATATATATATACACACACACACACACACACACACACACACACACACACACACACACACACATACACACATATATAACTAATTTTAAACTTAAAATGTGTGCTTTTTTTTTTTAACCATACTAAAAGCCACACTGGGATTAGCACTTGGGCATTTTCATTACTGGTGTCCAAATTCTCATTTTAAGAAGACTTTGTTTAATGTTACCAAGTTTAAGTCGAATTGAACTATTTTATGAAGGTCCCCTTGCTGCGTGCAAGCAAGCGCACACGCACGCACACTCTCTCACACACACACACCTTAGATTATATTCTTTATCCCGACAACGCTCAACACTTCACAAATCCTGAAAACGAGGGCCTGCACTGCTCTGAACTATCTTACACTCTCATTTTTCAGGTTGTATTCCACAGGGTCTTTCACACACACACACACACACACACACACACACACACACACGTTGCTCTACCATACCTCTAAAACCCTCATAAAAATATTTTTGAGTTTTCAGATGATCTAAATTTTATAGTAAGCACTATAATTTTGAGAACTGGGATTTTTTTTTTAATCCTGTGCATTTTGGAAGGGAAAAAAAACCCACAGGGGCAAACAAAAAAAAAAAGTAACTTATTTTCCAATAAGATGTTGTTATATTTGCAACAGGTTCTGACAGTCAAAGACGCGTTTTGAGCTTTAAAGAGAAGAGGCACGCTGTAAATGGACATTGGGGAAAGTGTATTAGAGATAAGCTGACTTGATTCTTTTGCCAGGAATCTATACGTTGCTCACTGTAAAGCTCCATCCTCTGGGCTTCAATGCAGCACTGTGCAGGGCACGGGGCGGGGGGCGCACAGATGGCCCCAGAAAACTTTCACAGCCGTCCACAGAACGCCAGACCTGGATGGCCTGAGTTAGGAGCCTCGCCCCCAACTCGAAGTAAAATGTCCTTGGGAGAGAAACCACTTTGCATTGAGTTACCTCCCACCCGCTGAGAGGTAGAAAAATGTTCAGGAAAAAGGTGAAAAGGAGAAAAGGGATTTAAAAGGAGGACGGGTGCTTACATAGAAGAGCCTGGCCTGTCCTCCCAAATGCACAGCAACTCTGCATGATCCTTAAGAAAATCAGGTTTCCAAAAGGCGCGATCTCTGGACCTACCCCGTCCCCAATACCTCCACCCCGGAGCGGTCCCCTCCGCCCGCCCGGCCCGCGCGCCTCGCGCCCGGGACTCCGGGAAGGATGCTGCGAGCTGTACCTCGTTTTGTCTCCAAAGGGCAACATAGCCACGTGGGAAGTTCGCTCCCGAGCCCCGCCGATCTGGCACCCTGGAGATTTCGGGGGTAGGGGGCGACGCCGTGCCCTGGTGGGGTCAGAGCCTCGCCGGGCGGCCCCAGGATCCCCCGCCTGTCACCGCGCCGCTGCCGGGGGGTCCCGGGTGCCGGTCCCCGAGCCGCGTCGCCCCCTGGCGGGGAGCGCCCAGCAAGACCGCGCGCGGGCGTGGGGGAGCCCGGGTCTCCACCATCACCACCCCGAGGGCGCAGCGCAGCCCCCGGCCGCTCGACGGCCGCCGCCCGCGGGGGTCCCGGCCCCGCTCCGAGGGCGCGCGCGCGCCGCAGGCCGCCCGAGCCGCCGCGGGCCGGAGCCCGGCCGCGCCCCGCTCCGCACCAGCGCCTCCCGCGTCGGGGGGATCCGCCCGCCGCGCTCTCTCCGCGTCCGGTCCCGGCGCTCCACTCTTAATCCCTGCCCAGCTCCAGGCGAGCGTTTCCCACGGGGTAAAGTCCCGGCCGCCCTCCGCGCCGCCTCCCGCCCCCCGCAGTGGCCGCCCGGCGCTGGGCTCCGGGCCAGGGGGCATCGGCCCCCCGGGGTCTCCACGGGCCGCGGGGACCCGCCAGCCCCCGCAGTCGGTCCCCACCCCACGCGGTCCGCCCCCCCCCCCCGCGCCCTCCGTGCGCGCCTCCCCCACCGGGGCAGCTCCTCGCGGGCCCCGCGCGGCAGGAGGCAGCAGGGGGGCCAGAGAGCGCTTGGCGGGACCATCGAGGGACTGCAGGGGGGGCCGGGGCGACCGCACTCACTTGGGGCAGATTCCGGCATGTTTCAGCCCTCGGGCGTCCGCGGTTCGGTTATTCCCCCCCCCCCCCCGCCCTCACCCCCGGCTTCCCCGCCCCGAGCGGGCCTGGCGGAGGGGGGGACGGGGAGGAGCGGAGCCTGGGGACCGGCTGGCCACGGCGCTTCCGGAGCGGCCAGGGAAGGGGCTCGCGGGCTGTTTGGGGGGTTTTTGCTCTGAAGGCTTCTGGAGAGCAGGGGTGCGGGGCGGGGAGGCCCCCGAACCCGGGGTGTGCAGAACGCACCCCGCTTCCCGGGGAACCGCGGCTGGGGCGCGGGGCGGGGGGGGGACGGGGGTCGCGCGCACAGTTCTGTAGTTGAACTTTGTGAGCAAGTTGAGTTGGTTTCCCCGTGCTCGCTCGCTTCAGGTCGCCGAGTCCACCCCGTAACACGGCGGAGGATCGACTGGAAACCCCGGGGGCTGGGGAACCGGGGGGGGGGGGGTGGCGGCGATCGCCGAGGGGGGTGGGGGGGGAGACTAAACCAGAGGCGGGGGACCGGCCCCCGAGGCGCGCGGACTCGGCCCAGCCGGGCGGGTGCGGTCTGGCACGCGTCCTCTCCTTACCTGGTGGCTTTTCTAACAAAGTAAGAGAAGGTAAAGTCCCGGTGATCGTCCAGCCACGCTTCGATCGCGTCCCGGTCCCGGTCCCGCCGCAGCGGCCCGGAGCTGGGGCCGGTCGGCTCCATGGCCGCGCCTCTCCGCGCGCCCCGCGGCGCCTGCTCCTCCACCCGGCCCGGGGTCCCTCCCTCCTCCTCCTCCGAGGAGGGGGCTGCGCCTCGGGACCCTCCCCTTCGCTCGGCCGCCGTTTGCTAGGCTCCCGCGGCCCAGCGGCCCCGAGCTGCGCCCACCTCCCGCCCCGCCCCGCCCTCCTTCCCCACCCTCCGGGCTCCAGGTGTGGCGGGCGGAGCCGGGCGTGCGGCCCCGCGCCCAGCCCGGGGTCCGGCGGGGATGGGCTCTGGGGAGACTCTGGGGTTCCAGGTGGAGGAGCAGTCAGGGCGACCCGCGGCGGGCGAACTCCCCGGAAGCCGAGTGGCCGAGGTGGCCCGGAGGAAGCCGGCGGCCGCTGGGGCGCGCTGTGTGCCGGGCTGGCGACGGGGAGCGCGCGGCGGTGGCCGTGCAGTGTTCATAGGGTCTCCCTCTGGGAAGGGAAAGGAGCGTGGCTGTGTTCGCGGGTCTCACTTTGGGGAGGGGAAAGGTCACTTGAAGGGATCCCAGGCCCAGAAGGAAGAAGGTGAAGAAGTTGCACCTTGGAGTGAGTGGTGATTCTAAGCTGCTGGGACCCCCGTGGCTCTCTTAGGACCAACCAGCGCCGCTGGGATTCGAAGCCAAAGCGGGACCCACCACCCACACTGGGCTGGGGACTCCAGGTGTGAGGACCGATCTGCGGGGTAGATGCGTTAATTGCCAGCAAAACAATACCGGCCTTAACATTACCAACAACAAAAGCAATAGGTGCCGAACTTCTTTAATCGTTGCGCCAAACACCCGGCTTTGTGTAACTGCAAAAAAGATAAACGGTTTTCTGCAGAAAACCAAAGGGCAAATCATCACAGTGCTTTGCCAGTGAGATTAGAAATCAAGGGCACTTTCCCTGAGCTCATGCCTGTGGTCCTTACTACTCAGGCTGAGATCTGAGGATCAGAGTTCGAAGCCAGCCCAGGCAGGAAAGTCTATGAGATTCTTATCTCTAATTAACCACCAAAAAGCCCAAAGTGGGGTCCAAATGGTACAGCACCAGCCTTGAGTTAAAGCCTCATGACTGGAGAGTGCATGCTTGCGTGCATGCATTTTTAAACCGTAAGGTTATAGCACTCATTAGTAGGGAAAGCAACCAGTTAACCCAACCCAACTTTAAATTAATTCATCTTTGTGTATATGTGAGCCACACACTTGAGCCACAGCTCCACTTTCGTTGTTTTTATGGTGGTTAATTGAAGGTAAGAGTCTCACTGACTTTCCTTCCTGAGTTGGCCTCAAACTGTGGTCCTCACATCTCAGCCTCCTGAGTAGCTAGGATTGCAGCCATCAGCCACCAAAGCCTGGCCGTCTTGTTTTTCATTCTACCAGGATGAACCTACTGTACACAGGAAGTATGCACCATAAAGTGATCAGTCTTCCTACATTATATGCCCACTTCTTTATACTTCTTATTTTTCGAGGAAGACTTGAATTCTTTCTTAGCTTTGTCATCAACTCATTATCCCTGTCACCAGTCGGCACTTTTTATATGACATTTTACAATGACCTTTTTTTTTTTTGGCTGAATTAAATCCGGAGTTGTATGTTGCGCAACTTGTGAATGACACCATTAGTGGTGATGTAACAGAAGCGATTGAACTGACATACTTTCAACTAACTCCCCTCAAAATACACTTGGCAAGAACAGAAGGTATTACTCACTACAAAGAAACACAGAATTCAATTGATACTATGGGAACTTTTGGAAATGTTTTCCCAGTCTCTCCAAATGCAATGGCTTATTTGCTTGCATTGAATAATTACCCTTTTGTAACTTCAGTTTCTCTAAAAGTTTGCTGTGTACAGAGGTAACTACAACCAATACAGAGCAAGCAAAGCAGTAGAGTGAAGTAATGCATGATAAATTAGATTGTAAATGAGAGTTCTCACCCCATAAATTACTATAGTGGTGGTATTCTCAGGGTGTTGTCTACTCAGATCCCCCTTCTGAAATGCATGCATTCTTTTTTTTTCTTTGTTGGTCCTGGGGCTTGAACTCAGGGCCTGGGTACTGTCCCTGAGCTTCTTTGTGCTCAAGGCTAGCACTCTAACACTTGACGCACAGCATTACTTCTAGCTTTTTCTGAATAGTTTATTGGAGGTAAGAGTCTCACCCTTGCTTAGGCTGGCTTTGAACCATGATCCTCAGATCTGAGCCTCCTGAGTAACTAGGATTACAGTCCTGAGCCACCAGTGCCTGACTGACATGCATATATTCTTAATACTAGGTCAGTTAAAACTAGACTAAAGATGGAGTGAACTGTGGGCTTGAGTGGTTTGCTTTGGTTGCCTGTCTTGGTGAAATAAACAGGTATGATGGCACCTGATACTGCCTGTAATCCTAGCTACTCAGGAGGCTGAGATCTGTGGATCAAAGTTCAAAGTTAGCCTGAGCAGAAATATCTCTGAGATTTTTTCCAATTAATTGGCAAAAAGCCAGAACTGCAAGTGTGGTTCAAGTGGTAGAGCACCAGCCTTGAGTGAAAGAAAAGCAAGTGAGAGTGCAAGTCCCTGAGTTTAAGCTACACACACACACACACACACACATGCTATAGATGGAATGTTTGCACCCACCTCCAGTTCATGTTAAAACTTAATTCTCAATACAACAGTATTATGGTGGGACTTTCCAGAGATCATTCTACTATGAAGACTTTACCTTCAAGAATGGACTCATTAGTGCCTTAAAAGTAGGCTCTGGAGCAAGCCTGCCCTTCTATCTTCACCCTATAAAGGGACAGCGCTATAGAGAATGAATCTAGAAGAAGGAACACATGAAACTATTAATCTTGGACCTAGAAGCCTCTACAACTCACTTCAAGAAATAAATTTCTATTGCCGATAAATGACTATGAATGACTTTCTCTTGGTATTTTGCCACTGTAGCACAATGGGCAATATTCAAAAGTGCATTTGGTCTCCTAAAAACTTGCTGCAAGAAAAACAATCTGTAGATTCTCCCATCTGTGAATCCTAATGTTGAGAGGTGTAAGGGGTAGGATGAGTCTACCTTGAAGGCCTGTTATCCCAAAAATTATTGCATAAGCAATAAAAAGACAGGAGTGCTCTGAAGAAGGCTGATGTTGGAAACTGAAGCAGGTTGGGGCTGATCAATACTAGGATGAGAAAACATTTCATCTTCCTTGCTTTGGTTTTATTGTTGATTTTCCTTTTCAATAGCTACACACTATCTTTTGCACCTATGCTGAAAAATTATAACGTATATGATAAAATAAAAGTAAAGTGTACTATGCTGATAAATTCAATAATTTAGATGAAATGGATAAATTCCTTGGATGTGTGTGTGTGTGTGGGGGGGGGGTAACCAAAATGGAATGCAGGATAGAATTTGGAATTTCAATGAAATAGCATTCAATAACATTGATTTCATTATTTTTAGCAAAGAAAACTACAGGGAAATCTTCTGGCCAGTGGTGAATTTGTTCAAACATTTATTATATCCACCCTATCAGTAAACCAGAGAAAACTTGACAGTAAAACATGACACAGATATTAAAAGAAAACATTGTTTCCTAGTAGATATATGAAATCCTTATTATATTATATAACATGAATTCAGCAATATATAAAAATTTCAAAAGGGTAATAGCCGATGACTAAACCTGATTGATTCCAGGTGTATATTGTTAGCTTAACGTTCAAAGGTCAATTCATGCAATTTAGCAGATTAGCAAAGATAAACAAATGATCATCTCAACTGATGTGGAAAATAAGCTGTCTGACAAAATCCAATATCCACTCATGATTAAAAAAAAAACTGCAGCAAACACAGAACAGACACATACTTTTCAATTTGATACATAGCATCTACTTAAAAAACGAACTCCTAAGATTGAAAGCAGGAAGTATACCCTTACCATTTCTATTCAATATTGTGCTAGAGTTTTAGACAAAGCAATAAATTACACACACACACACACACACACACACAAAGCAATAAATTACACACACACACACACACACACACACACACACACACACACACACACCAGAACTACAAAGCAACACAACTGGAAAAGAAAAAAATGAAAGTTTCTATGCTTGTGATTATGTATGTTGGTCAGTGAAAAATAACTAAAAATAAATAAATAAATAAATATAAGTATAGGTTATCTAACAAGGTAGCAACATCAATGGGCAACCTACAAAAAAACAGTAACAACAACAACAAATCAGCTGCATTTCTGTCCCTTAGTATTTTGAGCTGAATTGTATGCCAATAAACCTCTCTATTGAAATTCTAATCCCAGTTTTTCTGAGCATGTCTGTTTTGGGAAATAGGGCCTTTATTTTTTATTTATTTATTTTTTTCAAATTTTTTATTAAATGATGACATAATTTCCTAAATTTCACAGTATTGTGGGATAGTGATGCTTAGTTAGAATCACAAACACATTCTAACTTTCATGGGGGCAAATGGTCTATAACATTTATGAGTTCAATGAGCTTTGCAATACCTTTATTTCTTCCACATTGGGTGATATGTACATTTCTTTTGTTTTGTAAAGCATCAGCTGTTCCCTCTTTCCCACTTGTTCCCTCCCTCCCATTGCTGCCATTGAGTTGCTTAGTTCATTTTGATCAATGTCCAGTGCAGCTGATGGGTCCCGCTGTTGTATGTTTTTCCCTGATTCCCTCTAGTTCTGTGTCCTCCTCCTGGTTTCCCTCCAGTGTGTACATATATACCATATATGTGATCAGCAAAATGGGGTTTTTTAGTAGTGATTTGACCAGATGAGTGGAAGACCTTTGTTTCTTAAGCCTTGTTAATTTTGTGTATCACCTTACCTTTTTGGATTTAACATCCACTTATCAGGGAGACCATGTGCTGTTTGTCTCTTTGCTCTTGGCTTACCTTGCATGACATGATTTCTTCTAGCTCCATCCATTTCCCTGCAAATGCCATTATTTTGTCCTTTCTAATGGCTGCATAATAGGAAATA